ATAACATAGGTAACAAATTTTCTGGTAGCATTTTTTAAGTCTTCAGCTATCTTTTCATATAGTAACACTCAAAACAGTGCACCTTCTGTTTCTGAGCTTGATACAATGTTGAATACTGCATTAAGGTTCTCTGTAGTGAAAGAGGCCAGTACAAGCAATTGTCTTGCCATGGAGATGTGCACATTCTCTTTTTGATCAGTTGAATTTATGAGAGGAGTTGGATCGGAAGCCTGAGAGACTAGACCATTATTTGATAGAGTTGCTATGCATATTCAATGCAACATATTGGTAAGGCTTCAAGGTTGGCAATAGTGATCAGATGAATATTCCTACATCTATAGACCTGGTTCTGGATGCCCATGTAGTATCATCAACTTACTGAGATGAATGCATTGTAACAGCAGCAGTGTTAGATTGCATGGCATCCACAGTACATATCAGAACAAATGTAGCCCTAGGATTGTCAACATGGACAATTGGGAATTGTTTATTTGCATCAGAACTAACAACACCTGTGTATATTGCTATATATACACAACAACACTATTGTACATATCTCCAGTTTTGTCATATAAAATACAAATTTCATTTTAACCTAATAATGCACAATAATAGATCATATGCAATATAGAGGAACAATTCAACTACAAAAATTGAAAATAAATACAAGGTATCTAAATTACAAATATCATAATAAATCATTCCATCTTAAATAAATCAACAATGTTTCAAGGCAATTTTTTACATCAACTTGAGATTTTTCAACATTATGGATAAAGAATAGTGAATGTGATATAATGTTTTTTCAAGACTTAGCATGAGCAAAACAAATTCATGAATTTTGATAAAAAACAAAACAGAATGACATCAAAATCCACAAAATCCTTTAATAGTCAGTTGTGCTTAGCTTAATTTCTAACGTAACATTTAATGTAAGTAAAAAAAAAAAAAGCTGATGTTGATCAAATAGTGATAGTCAAAAAGCCCTGCCCAATACCCCCAATCTGGCTTGCCTTTCCTCTGAGGTAGGTGCAGGAGTAGTATGCGCCAGCTCTACATGTATGTGTAAGGCAACACATTTTCCAGCAAGATAGTACCTGCACACATAGTTTCTGTGCTACTTAACATGCTCTGCAAGATGATCACTTTTCTGGCCAGTATGATTGCCAAACATGTTCCCAATTGAACATGATAAGACATAGGACTTATTTCATTAGCATATCTTCAATTTCTGTTATATTTTATCAACAGGATAATATTTTCCACATGCATTAGGCATATGAGAGAACATGCTTGTGTTAATGCATGAAAAGAATATTTTTTTGTTTAAATACCATATCCACCCAGGACATAAGTGATCATGGCTCTCTACAGATTCCTTTTCTTTATGATCTGTGAATTGCCTTGACTTACTGGGTAATATAATGGAGTGATTTCCAATTACTTTATCCACAGTTGGAATTCAGTGTCATCTTTCGCTTAGACTGGCTGCTATTTAAAACTTGAAACCCCAGTCTACCCTACTATTTAACCCATAGTTGTCAAAAGATATGGATTCTTGCCTTATAGGCATTATTATGTAAGTGAATGGAACAGACAAGGCTGGAATTTGAACCCAGTTAATTAATAACCGTTACACTAACAGATCTGCATCACACACACACAGACACACGCACACATACAGTATATTAATATAGAATCTGAATACTGTTAATACACACCTTATTTTGGAACCTATGAGTGGTGATTTTATAAGTGCAGCTTAGATATGGCACAAGGCCGAAAGTACAGAGCACCTAGTGAGGATCTAACTCACTATTTAATTGTAATTGATCTTGCGAGACAAGTTAGCTAACCATTATACTATCTCTAAGTGCCTTGGAACATGTCTATGTATTGATCTGTGATCATTGTATTTTAATACAGATAAATTACCTGTAAGTTTAAAAACAAAGAGTACAGGATTTCTATGTAATATTGGTCCTTCTATATGGCAGTGGATACTGGACAATCACATCACAGATGAAGGAGAGTCAACAATAGTATGGTTCTACAGAAGGATGCTGAGAATACCATGGATTGAACATGTGAGCAACAACAAAGTTCTAGAGACGATGGAAACAAAAAGGACATTTACACTTAGAATTAAAAAAAAATGAGTTGTAATTTTTATTGTACATAAGAGGAAAGAGAGCTTGAAGTATTTGATACTCACAGGACAGATTGAAGGCAAGTGGGACAGAAGAAAGCAATGAATAACCTACCTAACAAGCTTGTTGGTTGACAGAACAGGAATTACGAGTGATAGCAAAAAGACAAGATTTACTAAGAGCTACACATGATAGGAAATTGTGGAGAGCAATGATCACCAATGTCCTGAAGAGACACATCATACAAGACAAGAAGATTTCATTGTATTATTTCTTTTCCTTCCATTTCTTAAATTCTGCAAACAACTGCTTCGGCTTTGAGGCCCAATTTAGTTTGGTTTGGTTTGTTTTACAGCATATCAACCCATTGGTACATTTAATGCCAAAATTTAATTTTCTTGGGAGCATTAGTAATTTCTTTTACAAAAATGTATTGCTGGTAATTTTTTTTACTATGCATCAGAAAAATACCGTTGGAATTTCTAGGACGCATAATGAGGAAAGAGGGCTTAGAAAATTTGGCACACAGGAGTGACAGAAGAAAGCAGTACATAACCTACCTAACAAGTTTGTATAAAAGGTTGACAGATCAGGGATTAGGAGAGATATCAAAAAGAAAAAACTTAACTAAGAGTTATAAACAACAGGAAATTGTGGAAAGCCATGACCACCCTTATCCATACATGGCATATAGAAGAAGAAGAAATTGAAACATTCACAATGTCACAATTTTATTTCCCATCAGTTGGAAGCCATGTCAAACAGTCCACCTTTAGAAGCTCTGTAAAAATTCATATGTTCATATGCAACTGTAGTAATATCACTTAGTATGGATGCACAGCTCTTTATTCAACAAAGAGTCTAAAGAAATAAGCAATAAACAATATTGTGTTAATGTCTTGAAGTCATGATTTTTCTATAATAAATAATATATCACCCTTCACTCGAAAAACTTAACAAAACTCTTTCCTTTTCATTCATATGTTGTCATCATTATTTTTATAGTTTTATATCTATTTAATTCCAAGACTATATTTCTGATGGAGGATTCTGCCTGAAAATTATTCTTTGTATTAGCAAATTTTTAAAACTTTATTTCTTCCAATTTATCTTATCTTTTATTATTATTATCCTCTCTCACAGTTGTTTACTAGTGTCATGAGTTAAACTCTCTCAGGGTATTTGAGTAATGTGGCCTTGTACCAGTCTAAGCTAGGTTTAATCAATATTGACTCAAGGGTCCCTTGCAATGAAGTGATAGTTTACAAGCTAGTCTGACAGACTATTTTTCACTGGGGCACCTATTTTTGTGTACAGTATGAAGCTAAGTAAATGCCTGTTTCTATCTCGTTCAGTTTCCAAATTTCTTCACACCCAAAGGAATATTTGAGAACAAAATTAGCCCATTAGTGCTCACCATCCAAAACCAAAAAATCAAAATCAGTGAAAACTATAATTTAGCTAATACCAGTTTTTTTATAAATTCATAATTAATATCTGTTTTTTTTAAGAACCTATAATTAATACTTGCTTTTTTATAAACATATAATTAATAATCTGTTTCTTTTTTTTAATAAGCTTCCTTGATAAAATCCAAAGAAGAATCAGCAATATTATTGGTCCTGATCCGGTGCCTCAACTTCAGTTACTTTCCCACCATCATTGCATCCCTGTACCTTTATTATAGATATTTTCATGGTAATTGTTCAGATGAGCTCTTCACTATGGTACCCAGACTTTTTTAATTTACCCGCAGTACCAGACTGGCGACAAGGTTTCATCAGTTTATAAAAGATCAGGTATTAATTATAGGTTTATAAAAAAAAAAGTTTTAATTACAAGTTTTTGGTTGTTTTTTTTTGTTTTTGTTTTTTTTTAATCAATTTCACCCCATGCAAAGCAGTAAATCCACTAAGACACAAGGGGTTACTGGTTGTGAAAGAATTAGAAACAGAAACATTACTAATGAGCAGGAAGAGAAATGAGTAATCAAGAGAACAGTACATAGCAACTGACATTGCATTTAAATTTTTGATGAAAAAAACTTGAAAAGCATGAAGCCAGAAGAGAATTCCGCAAACAAGAAATGTGAGAAAAGATTCCGTTAACAGAAAAACAATTACCATAGAGGAAATTTCATTAGAACAATTTACCATGAAAGCATTTATAGAAAAAGCACAGGGAGGCTACATTACAGCAGTGGGAAAAGGACTGAAGTCAAGATGCCAGGACCAATATCAATGCAGATACTCCTTTGCATTTTTTCAAGAATCTCTGAATATATAGCAGGAGCACCAGACCATATATATACATACATTCACACACACACACACACACACACACACTCATATATATGGATGGTATGTATGTATATATATTATTTATATGAAGACAACTTCATGTCTTGACCTATACTAAAAAATTTTTTTCAGTGAGTTTGAATTTAGCATAGGTCACATTCAATTGGTTAATCACAGTAAAGTCCACAAGCCTATTTTTATGCTGTTTCTTTTTTTTTCAAATAAAGAGGACGCATTCTGCTTTTAAATTAAATTAATCATTCACTCACCCAAGGAGACATGTTGAAACATAATTGTAATTGTGTAGCGAATTGTAAATGTTTTTGTTTTAAAATAAATAATATTTAACTCTACTCTGTTCTGAGCCCTCTTTTAAGTTAAATCTTACACACAATGGAATTACACTCCATTTGTTCTCATTTTACCTGGATATATATATATATATATATATATATATATATATATAAAGTTTTTCCACTGCATGACACATTAAAATAGTAATATGTAAAAAAAGAAAATTCTCATGCAATTTTTTCATTTCATTCTTCAGGTGGATACATGGAAAAGCTAGATTCTAAATGGATTCTTGTTGAGACACACAATTGTCCAGAAAGGGACTCTTCCCCAGCCACCTTAGGACTGACCAATATGGCAGGTGAGTTTTTAACTAAATTTTTCTTTCTTAATTTCATATAATTTTTTTTTTTAGGAACATTTTTGTTTATTCAACATTTGTAGTGTTATTAAATATCAGTCATTGTAATCTATTAAAATCTATAATTAATTACAATTATCCAATTAATGAAAGTAAAAGCCCTTCAGTTAAAAAACTGAAACTAAATATGAAACTTAGTTTTTATTTAATAAATTATTCAAATTCCTGATGACCAATCACTTATTTATAGAATCTGTTATAATTATTTTCAAAAGCTGATTATCAATAAACTTAATTATTATAATGTTTAAATTGTTTATTGGAGAAAATTGAAGGCAGGTGGAAAGGTAATTATTTTTTATTCAGTTGAGTTAGGTTGGACATTCATGAGTCTATCATGCCAACCCTCATTGTCCTGGATCAAGATTGGAAGGTCATTAGGGAGGCTTTCTGCATCATAACATAGCTGGTCAATGTAGGTGGTTACTGGGTGACCAACTCATCTTGCTTCATGGCTAGGTGTCCAGTACAGTAGATCCCTCACAAGTTCTTATTTTGCTTGGCCAATAGTGTCCTGCAAAGCACATTCTGCATTCATGTAAGATTGTAGAAATATCAGGGATGAGTCCATAAAGCTGGGATCTAGTTGGATGTTGACTCTAGGAGATGTTAAATATAGCTCTCAGCATCTGAGTGTAGGTTCCATCAAGCTTAGACTCTAGGGTTTTAGTTAATGTCCAGGCAGTGGCACCATACAGTTTAAAGACTAAGGATGATCTCCCTTGGACAGGTATTAAAAATTATTCAGAAACTAGTTGCCTGGTTGGGTTGAATATCATTTTATTCTCCAATTTTAATATTTTAATGTTATTTTCTCTTAATTTAATAATGTTCTCAGAATGAGAACTTGGAGAGTCAAGTTCAAATTCCAGTCATATTTGTTATATTCACTTATGCACAAATACTCTTGGGAAAAATATGAATCCATCTCTTCTTCCCCCCTGGCTATGTGTTGAATAGCAGGACAGACTGGTTGCCTTGATTGGCAACCAGGCTATCACCAGAAGAAATGGCAACCTACTGCAGGAAAAATCTTCTGCCTTTTCAGTCATGTATCAAAAGATACATGATCACCTAAGCGTATATCATGTGTGGCACTTAACTGAATGAATATCATTTTCTTTATTGTCATTAAGTTATTAAAAACCTCAAATGTATATTTACTATTCAGCACAAGTATTGAACTGATAGCCTTCAGCTAATATAAACTTGTGCTTTAATAAGTTGACCTTCTCTACCTGCAGTTGAAATACGTTCTGCAGATGTATATATGATGGACTCTCCCATCTTGTAAAACTTATAGTTAGATGGGAGAGTTACTTTACAATCACAGTGTATATGTTTTTCCCCTGGGGAGATATAAATCTATTTGCTTAGTGAACCTTTATCAGATTAGATCAACAGAATGCACAGTTTGGTTTTAATGGAGAAATTCACTGAAAGACTGTGCAAAATGCTTTCTTTTTTTTATCAGACAAAAACTCTTCTTGCTTGAAAGAAAAAAACAAAAGCAAGTGACTTCAGCATTTTTGACAAAAAACAAACACTAGCCCTGTATGAAAATCTAAATGGTTGATTATTCACATTATTAATTATTATAATTATTATTTTCTATTAGTTTAACAGTGTAAATTCACAAATGAATGTTTATTATACACATTTCTGAAAATTAAACTTCTCTCCATTATTCATCTGAGAAACTTCTCACTGCCTTACATCATCATGGCTGATGCTAACCTCCAGGAAAGTGACCTGTTGCACCTTCTTGGGCTAATGTTCTTAGCTGACATGAAGTGGAAAGACTATATTGAATTCATTGCTAGGTCTGCTGCTAAGAAAGTTGGTTCACTGTGTCATGCTAGACAATTTTTCTCTCCAGAATCTATCTTACATATCTATAAGTCTACCATTCTTTCATGCTTAGAATATTGCTGTCACATATGGTCCGGTGCCCCTTGAGCTCCTTGATAAGATCCAAAGAAGAATCAGCAATATTATGTGCCCTGATTTGGCAGCTTGGCTTCAGTCACTTTCCCATCACAGTAGGGTTGCCTCTGTATTTTTCTATAAATACTGTCACAATAATTGTTCAGATGAGCTATTCACTATGGTACCTAGACTTTTTTGAATTTAAGTGCAGTACCATACTGGAATCAAGATCTCATCAATTTGCAGTTGACTTGGCTGGATGTAGCTGTAAATTCTATGCTAACAGTTCCTTTACTCGCACTTCTTGATTGTGGAACTCCCTTCCAGCTTTAATCTGCAAAAATTTAAATGCAATGTCAGTTGCTATCTACTGTCCTCCTGATTGCTCTTTTCTCTTCTACACTCATTATTAATGTTTCTGTTTCTAATTCTTCCAAACTCTGTAAGTCTTTGTGTCTTAGTAGCTTTACTACCTTGCAGTTGGTGATACTGATTAAAAAAAAAGAAAAATAGCACTTTTCTATCAGTAACACTTTTACTGACAACTTATTTTTTCTCATTTGCTATTCATTTCTACACTACATGCATATGATTAAAGCTTCTTAATACAAATTTTAAGTAAAAAAATTTTTAAAAACTCAGTGCTTTTTCTAGGAAGATAGATATATAAACCCCCAACAGGAGGGAATAGGACAGTCACTTACATTGACACAAGTATGATTTTAGGATCTATTTTAAGAAAGTACCCCAGAACCACACACTTATTGACTGGGCTCATAACCCAGAAATCTGTAGATAGTAACTATGTTCTGCTACTAATGTTGATCTAATCTGGTATAAATCTATTTGCTTGAAGTTATATCAGATTAGATCAACTGTTATTATCTCTACATTTCAGTCATTACATCCTTGTGTGTGGTGGAGATGATTACTAGTTGTAAGATATACATAAGAGCATAAGACTCTTAACATTTGATAATTCAATCAAATGGCCAATACAACCTTACCCTTGAACTATGCAAGCCAGACTAGACAAATTGCATGATGTCCCATTATGTCTGTAGAAACAGAGAAGAGAAGTGCTAAACTGCTATGTAATATCTAATCTTCTATATGGCAATGAATGATGGACAATCTCACCACAGATGCAGAAATGGCTTAGAGTACCAAAGATGTGTTTCTACAAATGTATGCTAAGAATACCATAAACAAAACATATGAGCAATGAGGAAGTTTTAAGGAAAACAGGAATTACAAGTAAACTCATACTTACAATCAGAAAGTGACAACTGAAATTTCTGAGACCATAATGAGGAAGGAAGACCTGGAGAATTTAAAACTCATAGGATTGAAAGCAAAAGAAGCAATGGGTATTAGTGGGTAGCTTGAATTGATGGCAGAATAAGGACAAAGATGAATAGTAAAGTATTAAAAGCTATGAAGAGCAACTAAAGACTGGAGGTTGTGGAGAGCCATCATTGCCTACATCTTGAAAAGACATGACACATAAAAGAATCTATTAAATACAGGGAAATACATAAAAATGACTTTTCTAATTTGAACTGTTTCCCAGTTATATTTTGTAGCATTAATTCAATTTGTCTCAAGTGGTAAGAATTGATGAAATAAAAATAATTCCAGCAATCAGGTGTTGTTAAACAAAACATAATTAGATTCACAAAATTTCATTGACCATAATATACTAGGGCTACTGAAAAAAATTTTTAAAAAAACTACTTCATTCTTCAGGAATGGTACAATCTTAAGTTACCATTTGTTTGGCACTTGTCTCTGTATATGACCTAAATTCTCTCTGACAATTGCCACTTGCATGTGGAATTGGATTACGTGGAAAGGATCACTTTCATTCTTCTTCGTCCAACATCCCATCATGCCATGTGAGATGAAAATGATTACTTATACAAGATGCTGAAAATTCTAAGCCAGACCAAAAAAACGATTCTCAAAAAAAAAAAAAAAAAACTATTGATGTTCAGTCATTTAGTCAGATTTTGGGAAATGGGTCAGGTCAGGAATTTTTCTGTACCCCCTTGTACATAAGAATGCAAGCAATATTTTCAATGCTATAACTTGAAATGATACTAACACTTTGTAAGCAAAATTTGAAACTGTTCTGTTTTTTTCTGATATTTTAAAGAAAACTTTGATATCTATTGTAAGTGCAACATGCTTGTAAAATATTTTTCCCAAGCATTGATAAACTGTAAGTTTTGATAGAAATATGAAACTCTGGACCAAGTGTTTTAGAAGCCATGCCAACACTTATTATGAACATTAAATAAACAAGATATACTTTTGATGAATTCAATGAAAATGCCAGCATGTTAAAATGCATGCTAAAAGGCATACATCTCTTTAATGCCCTTGTATGAATCCACTTCTCCCTGTCACCTGTCTCAGTACTAGATATCTTGATACTGTTTTGACACTAATATTCTGTGATGTTTGATAGTAAAGAGAGTGATCCTTTTCACAAATTGTACTCCTTAGGTAGTTTCAGCAAAGGCTGCTATAATTATTGTTATCTTTGAGAGAGACCAATCAGTAATACCACTATATGCACTAGTTGTAACAGAAATAGTAGACTGTGAGATGAAGCTAGATTGTACAGACTTTGGCTCAGTGGAAACATAGCAAGGAATAACTGAGCAGTACTAAGGCTTGGGTCAACCTGTGATATAGTTTTGAGGCATTTTCCAACAGTGCCATATGGTGGGATTGCCTCCTCAACCTGATAAAATCAAGTTGTCAAATCTCTGACAATTTAAACAGAGTCTCAAACCCGGGTCTCATTGTTGGAAAACAAATGTTTTAACCATTTGGCCAGGGTGAGATAATATCATACCAAACTAATAATAGCAGTATGAAATTTTTTTAAAAATACTATGGTGTATCAAAAGTATTAACAGTTTTTTTGGCAAATGGGGTACTTATTAAGGGCTTCGTTTCAGTTTATACAATGATCTATATTTTTGATTATCTTAGCTTTTCTGAATGTTTTTCTTTCTTTTTTTTTCTACGTACTTTTCTCTGACTTGTATTGTGAAGAATCATTGGCAAATTCTGGGCATTATTTTAATAGACAAGTCTTCTTCTATGTCCTGTTTCCCTTTGGTGATCATGCTCCCCACAATTTCCTGTCCTTTGTAGCTCTTAATAAATCTAGATAGGTTATGCTTTGTTCTCCACTAACACTCTTGCCTTCAATATGTCGTCTGAGTATCAAAATTTTCACCCCTGCTTTCTTGCTTGCCCTAGAAATTTCAACTGTCTCTTCCTGATGTTAACTATAAGTGTCCTTTTTGTTTCCATTTCCTCTAAAATTTCATTGTTGCTCACGTGTTTGGTCCATGTTATTCTCAGCATCTTTCTGTAGAATCACATTTCTGTTGCTTATAGTTTCTTCATCTGTGAGGAGATTGTTCAGCAATCACTGTCATATAAGAGGATTGATATTACCTAACATTTCAGTACTTTTTTCTTTGTAATGAAATTTTTCTGTTTCTTAATATTTTGCTAAGCTTTTGGAAGGCAATATTCACCATGCCAATGTATCTTTGGATTTCAGTATTGCACTTTCCATCCCCTGTTAATACATTTTCCAGATATAAAATATTTAGGACAATTTGGGGAAATATGATCAGATGCCATTTCATTTCCTTTCACTTCTTGAATTCCATGAGCAATTTCAGTGCTTGAGTTTAAATTATTATATCAAAATTGCCAGTCTTCCTACTTGTATCCGCAATTATAATTTTTAACACAAAATGTACAGCTGAATAATATTGATAAGAAGATGATATATAATAATATCTATCTGTTCATGAGTGGGAGTAATGGAGAAGCATCAAGACTGGGTCCGGGAGGGTTGGTTTATTTGTTTCAAATTTGAAAGATGAGGCAGCCAAGGCATCTTGGCAGACACATCTTGTATTTTCTAAAATACGCTCAATCAGAGACAATCCATGTGGAGTTGGTTACCCAACCTGAAGGTTTTTCTAAATGGAAGTCACCTGCAAGATTATATGCTGTTATTAAAACCTCTCACCATACCACACACATGTGCATGATATACCCTTATCAGACTGGGTGTCATGATGGGTACACTGGGTTTTGTATATTTGTACCCAGTGATGGCCCTAGGGTTGCTGGCACCCCAGGCAAGTTGAATTTCAATGCCCTTACAAATATAATTTTTTTCACTTTTCACAAGGAGAAAAACTGAAAATATAGAATAATGTAGAATTTATTGCAATATACAACTTAATAGAAGCTAAAGAAAACATTATCCTACCTAAGACATTTTTATTCTAGCCTTTAAATCTGCAAAATCTTTTCATAGCACTTTCTGCACCTATCTTCTTTACAAGATCATTTTCTATTTACAAAATAGACAAAAAATTTAATCTGTCTCGAGTCATGGACACCTGCAAGTATGTTTTTATAAGCTTTATTTTTGGAAAATCCCATACACATGACATGGTGGCATGATGACGCCCTTGGCCTTGATGGTTTCAAGCAAAACCTGTATATTCACTGTGAATGCAACAGTCATGAGGTACATACAAAAATCTTTAAGAAAATCAGTTTTAATTTCTTTGGTAAATCCGAAGATTTGTCTTAATAAAATTTACCTTCTGGACTTTAATTTTAATCTAGTGTATACTCAAACGAAAAACAATAGATACAGAATATGAATATTTCATAAGGAGTCAATTATTCAAACGAGTATTCTTACCTACACACTTGTGCAAATTAATTGAAACAAAACAAATAATTCTGTTATTATTTACTTTTTTTTCATATTTTTCCAATGAAACATGAGCCAGTGTACATGTTAGTCCTTTGTATGTCCATTCCACGAAATCATTCCTTGCAGATTGACCACAGATTCTTGACTGGATTTAAATCAGGAGAGTTTCCGGGCCAGTCTATAGTACTTTTATTTACTCACTGCTAAGGTTTGCCAGTGTGTTCGTGCAGTGTTACAATTTTTGTACGCTTCCTTGGAGTAATGTCCATTGCAGACAATGGCTCTAGGACAACTAATCAACAGTCAAGACAATAGTGTCTGGGTGTGATAAAAATCTGATGTAATCATTGATGACACAATATTTTTCAAGGCCAAACAAATTTCATCATACACCCCAAAAATAGATTCATATTACTGCACACCACCACAAATCACCTAATCCGAGGAAAAAATAGAAATTGATTACACCTTGTCACACCAGTGGGTCTAAAACTGACTGTATGGCAAAAGAAAGGAAACTAAAACGGTTGTTTCAATTAATTTGCACAAGGGTATTGTCTTTTTTATGCTAAGAGGTGAGAATACTTGTTGTTTTGCTAATTATATTTTGGCCAATTAGCACCCCAGCCTTCGTCATATGTCTATATCATGTAACAACTGTAAAATTCTTAGTTCTCAATAACTATTTATGAGACAATGGTTTGTCAGGCTCCCTAAATCTTCAAATTTCTAACATCTAAATCGGTGAATGGTTTCTAGCAAAAGTTAGCAAAAAGGAAAATTATGCAGTAAATGGTTCTCTTTGAACTACTTTGACAATTACTGAATGTGATATACAACTGAAGAAGAATGGAAGTGTCCACCAGTTGAAACATAAAGATCAAAACAAAACCATTGAGGGTAGACAATTCATCAAATAAGGATAATCTGATATCAATTCCATCAACCTTGATGAATAAAATATCTTTTATTTTCTTTTTACAGGTGTGTTTATGATGGTCGCTGGCGGGATAGTGGCTGGGGTTCTGCTAATCTTTGTAGAGATTTTATACAAACGACATCGAGGAATGAAAGAGAAAGAACTCGAGTTGGCACGGAATGCTGCAGATAGATGGCGTGGAAATATTGAGGTAAAGTTCACCTTCCATCCAATCTGGTATTATTTAGTTCATCATCTAACATTCATAATAATTTTTTAAAATATATAATTCCAGGGTCAACATTTTTCATGTTTTTTGTTAGTTTGCTTTTTTTCTTTTTTTGCCCCAGATTCTGTGACTTTTTATTGAACTTTATGGTTATCAATGTTTTTATATATATTTCTTTGGCTCTGTTTAAAAATGAATGCATCTACTGAAGACACTGTTTACTGACTGTGGCTAAAGAGGAAGATTTTTAACTGCCAATTCCTGGCACAGTTGCTGAACTTGAAGAGTGATTGCTGCCACAGTTTTCACCGCTTACTTTTATCTACAATCAGGTTCATTTCACCTCTGCAGTGCTTATGTTTGCATATGCATCCCTCCACCTTGTATGGCAATGCATTATTCTTATTTTTACACACACACACTTATATATATGAAGAAATATAATTTTAAGGTGTGCTATATTTATGGGATAAAGTGCTCAATATATAAGAGATAGAGTGTACGTAAATATAAAGTGAACATTGAAGTCAACACTCAGAGGTGACATGCTAGACATCTAGCATGAAACAGCATGTTGCCTCTGAGTGTTGACTTCAATGTTCACTTATATATATATATATATATATGAGGTCTTAGAAAAAGGGACATTGGATTTACTAAACTCATATTTACTTGGGTTGAAATTTTTGGAAACACTCAAAAATTAGCTGAACCTGTTGTACATGTTCTTCCTTGAAAGAGCCAGCTATCATCCACAAAAGTTCAAGCAAAATATAAATTGTACTACACATCATCCCTGAATCTCTAAAAGAATTGTGCTGCATTCCTTTTGGACAAAGTGATGTTCAAAAACTCAAACAAACCAAATTATGTATTAATAGCAATCTTGGAAATATCATACAAGGATTTGGTTTTAGACTCTGATGAGATTCAATTTGGTGAGAACCCTGATGTCACTTATATGGAAACTAGGTTATATATCTGGATTTGTGAACGAGTTGATCCTATATTCACCATCTTTGGGGATTAGATGCAACAGAAGAACCCAGTTGTTTGAAAGGTGTGTGTTACCAAGCTTCATCATTTAGCTAAATTCAACTTTAACAACTTGCAGCTTATCTGGAGCTAACTGCTGTGTTGGGAAACAACTGATTGTATTATGATGCTTAATACCATGGATCAGTCTTTACTTGTGGAAAGATAGTTTAGTAATATTATAAAATTTATATAAAAGCTCCCAAAACTACAGGATAAATCCATCGTGGACCATAACGAGATGGTGGGAACCTAACATGAGTTTTAGAATCCACCAGACAATAATGAGAAAATAATATTTGAGCAAAAAATCATCGGCCAGTGGTATTTTCCCTATTCACAATTACAATGGATAACAATGTAAGCCTAAATTCAGGAACAAGTATTTTTCTCTATACGTCTAGAAAGAGACTTGTTACCAACCTGATGTGTAAACTTACAAGGCTCTGTCACTCTGTCTGCCTTAGAAGTAAGAATTAAAGAAATTTGAATACCACTATATGTAAGAAAACTATGTGGTCACAATAAAGTAAAACCCTTATTAAATAAGTGGCTGAAAGAACAATCCCCCTCAACCTCTCTTTTATTGATTCATATGATTAACATGAATCATGTTCTGTCTCACCAATGTAGATTTGATTGAAATAAAATCTATTTGCTGATGATACTTTTTGATCAGCAAAACATGTCCAAATAGGAGTTTTTCAAATTGTCATACCTTTCATGTATTCCTAATATTTTGGTCAGGGTGTCTGATTAAGAATTATGGAAATTATTTGTGTCAACATTAAATCTGCAATGTTATATGCAGTCTCCATAAATTTTCCACAGAAGAATCCTTCCCCACTGTGGCTAAAATAGTGTGGAATTCTGCCAAAAGGCTTTGTATTGAATATAGAATATCATGGTTAATATAATCACCCCACAAGAGACTGTAAACAGTGAAGGAATCTTGGAAACTCTGCTATCTCCCATTATCTCTGTATTTAACAGCTATGGTAATATTCTCTGGCAAGAGGTGGATATTCTGACTATCATTTCATAAAGAGATTGTTTACTGGCAAGAAAATAATCTCTTAACTCTGTAGCTTAACACAAATACAGCAAATGAAAACTTCTTAGTCTGCAAACTAACATCGCTAATACCACAGGTACATGTGAGTCTATCTCAAAATAGAATGAATTTATCTCACTTATTTTATCCCATTTGAGGCTCATGTTAGATAATAAAATGTTTTGATAGGTTGAATTTTAATATCTAGTAAATAGTGTAAGGATGATAATAATTAGATCGAACTAGTAAGAAAGCAAAATTGCTACTATGTGGTTCATAGCTATGACCAATGGTGGCATCCTTACCTGATTGCATGAGCTGATTCTTAAAATTATAAAAGCTTAGCAAACCAGTTGTTGGATTATCCAAAAATAATCTTATATATTAATTACTGTTGGTCTAAGTAAAATGTTAGTTACACAATCCTTGTGTGTGCCTCATGAAACTCTAATAGACACATGTCTTTACCACAACAATAAACAGCAGTCAGTAGGGAAGAAAAAAGAAAGAAAAAGTAAAAGAAAGACATAAATAGAGAATGGTAGTTGTGTAGAAGAATAGGAAAAAGAGAGAGATCTTTGGGACTGCAGCGATTCAGTTTGAATATGGCTCAGAAACCATAACACAGCTGATGACACTAGAGCTAAAAAGCATCATACTTCTGAACAGAAATATAAGGGGAAAAGAATTTCAATCTGGAAATATCTTAATAAATAAATGTTTTCTATTATCAAAATGGTTTAATTCTTTTTGATACTATAAAGTGATTTCTTTTCATTCTCAGATTGAAAAGAAAATAAGCAAAATAGGTTCCTAAAGATTACCTGCTTTTATAGAAATGGTGCCTGGAAATTTGGCATGCCATTATTGGCTACAACAAACACCAAATAAGGAGAAAAGGGTAGATTTTACAGTTTGACTCATACATTAGTTGGAGGTAGACCAAATACTGTAATCAGGATTAATGCTTGGGCACCAAATTTCAAATGGAGTAAAAATACAAAGGCAGCCATATTGAATTTCAAGAAACAACTGATTTAAAACACATACACAAAAATGTGTAGTAATAATAAAGGACATTCTCGAAAGGGCTTCTTTTCCAGAATTTTGCAGCAAGTAAGACATACTTATATTTGGACTCTAGACATATGCTATTTTTCTTATGTAGAGAGGAATGGCACATATAACAAGTCCTACGTATTAGGTAGTACATTTAGAATAACACGAGTTGTTAGTCATCTCGGCAATTGTCCCTAGCCTAGTTTTCCAATAAAAACTTGCAAGACAAACAAAGAATAAACTATAGAAATCTCATGCAAAATGCCATTTAAAAAAAAATGTTAAAATCCCATAACAAGCATCAAGGAAGTTATCAATCAATAAAATGTTTATCACATCAAGAATCATCAGTTTTTGGAATGACTGGTGGAAATAAATTTACCTGATCAAGGACCCTGTAGTCTTGGGCCCCTGATAAAATTAATGTCATGAAGTTGCTAATGAGATAAATTGGATGAATTCCAATAAAAAATTTTACTTCAATTGTTTCATATTTTTACAGCGAAAAAGCATCATGTAAAAATATATCTTTTTTTTTATAGACACAAAGGTGAACATATGTAATGAAGGGGTCCTCAAATTCTACTAGCCCAGAGGTCTCTTAAGGCCTAAATATGGCCATGTATATATATATATAAATAGACACCCCAGAATATATGCATATATTTAAAAATGCAAGAAAGCATTCTTCTTAAATGATCCTTTTCAACCAACAATTCACACTACCTGAAAATACAAGGAGGGAAAAAAAAGAAACTACAACTAAAATACAAGTTTATTAATAAAAACAAGGGGTACAAAAAAATAGAAAGGAAATATACCAGCAAAGGAGCTAATGTAAAAGGTTCCTAGTGAGTATAAAAATGGAAGAATTCACACACATACCTCCTAAAAAGCAGAGAGAGTGAAGAAAATGCTCTTTCTGTCTGCACAGATACGCTTGATGTAACTGTATAAAAACTGCTTCCAATATACGTAAATACTGAGCAGACTGAGCTCTGCGCAAGACAGTGAACAAATCATCACTATATCCTGCTGCACAATCCAGATTGTCTTGTAAATGCTGACCAATGGCCAAGTTGTGAACAGACTGGGCAGAGAGCTTAGTGCAATTGAAAATACCTTGTCATATGATATACTCACAGGAACATTTTGGTTTTGAGTTGCTAATTGGTTCATCCTACATAGTCAGCCTCACACTGACATTTGAATTTATAAACAGAACTACTTTTAAGGTAGGACAAACCATCTTTGACAAATGAAGGAAAAACTGAATTAGTCCTGAAAACAACATGTACCCTAACGGCCAAAGACCTAATGTAACACAGGGTGACACACTGTTGGTTAGTGTCTGACTTTTCCTGTCCCACCAAGGTAATTTCAAATATATGGTTGGTTGAAAAGGAAGAATGCTTTCCTGCATTTTTAAATATATATACCAGGTGTAACAGCAAAATTGTCCAATTGTTAGATTAAGCTTTGAACCATTGTATCTTAGAAATGATTAAAGATATCTGACTGAAATTCTCTGAGTTTTTATAAAACTATTGGACTCTCCTTTGAGCAATAAGAATATATAATTACTCTCCAAGCTTAACAGAAGAATCGTGATGAAATTGATCATAAATGAAAATGACGTCATCATCATCATTAATTAATCATAACTAAGGATCAGAAGTTCATGAAGGATTGAAATAAAGTTCAAATATATATATATATATATATATATATATATATATATATTATTTCAGGATCATTTTCCAACTTATTCATGATTATCTTCACCCTCTCTAACCTTCTCACTTTCTGTCCTGGTATAACATGTTGCCTCACA